AATCAGATATGTGAAATAACAAGATACAGTCAGTGAACTACAAAAGCTAAAATGAAGTTTTGTCTCTAATTACTAGTCTTAGAGGAGCATGCTCTCTTTAGAACAAAGCCAAATTCACAAAATAAAACTGAAAATAGAACAATCCTCTTACCCCTCTTTCATCTCATTTTTGATAGGCAGGTATTGCTTATCTAGTGACCCTTCTTGTACTGCACAAGCAGCTTCATGTTGCTTTGGCTTATGCCTGTGAAGCTACTGTTGATGTTTATCAGATGGTTATATTGAAGATGATTACCTAGTAAGTTTTCACCCCAGATGTTTACAAGGGGCTTTTACAGAATAAACATAGCAGACAAGCCCCATTGGTGTTTGTCAAAAAACCAAACCTTTGATGCTTTTACTTCTCAGGAATGATAAATAATTTTTTGCATAGGATATTTTGGGAACTGAAGTAAGTAAAACTTCTTTGTATTCCTTTAGACCTCTCAAGCTCAGCTTCTAGAGATGGAACACCAACACTTAGCAGCAATAATTCCCCATTGTTTGTAAGTTGTTTTTGTGTTTTCTGTCACATCAGTTCAAATGTTAACACCTTGAAGTCTTAAACTAAGATCTTAGCTGTCAGAGTAGAAGTTTCTATTTTTTAAAAAAAATGGCACTTGTACCATTAAAATGTGATTCTGGCTGGAAAACAGTTGTACAGTAGCTCACAGCAACAGTAATTGAACACAGGAGAAAATCTACAAAGCTTGTTCTGTAAATGCAAACCTTGACTACTGTCACAGCCACTTTTCCATTCTGAGGAACTTGTAAAATCCGTGTAAGTTTAAAATAACCAACCTAAGAGAGAGGAAATCTCTTATGATCCAAGTGCCAAATACTACGAATCCTGGAGAACTGTCTAGTACAGGAGCAGAGCAGAGATCACCTTGTGTCTGAGAATCTGTCTGGTCTCTGTATTCTAGTCATGCTGTATATTTTCAATCATGCTGCTGGCCATTGATTACGTGGGGAAGGGTGCTTGAAGGATTGCATCCTTGTGAGCCGTGAATGGAGTAATAATTAGCTTGTTCTTCTCCCTGTACCTGGTTGGATCTTGTTATATGCTTAGTCTTATATGGCTTTTGTAAAATCTCTGTGTCCCCTTCTTAGACTTGTGGTTAAATTTGTATTTTGATATTTTTTTGTGTGTGTGTAGTCTTTCGTATGCTATAAAGAATAATTCACTAGGTTAAATTATAGTTGTAGATAAATTATATGGATCAAGTAAAATATGCTTTCTTCCAACAGATAAATGGCCCTAGTAGTTTGTTTGGGTCTGAAAATTACATGGGAATTGCAGGCCAAACTAGAAATGACTTTTCAAATGTTTTTAGCAGTGCAACTGCTAATATACCTGTATCTTCAGCACTTGCGGGACGAAACCCACTAGAAGGCACACATGAACTAAGACAGGCCTGCCAGTTATGTTTTGTCAAAAAAGGTAAGGGGCTTCTGGACTCAATTGGGTTGATTTTTAAAAACCAGAAAAGCAGACATTTAGAACTTCAGTGTTCATAAGTTAAAATACTGTCGGCTTCTAAGTAGTGTTAATCCTGACTTGTTCTTTGCAGATGTAGTACGATCTTATGGTTAAGGAATTGGTAAAATGTTTCAACAACTGTTTTATCTTCTTTCTTCTTGTCTTTATTTCTTGTCCTAATAGATCCTTGATTCCTAAACCCACCACAAATCACCACATGCTTTCCCCCACCTGTGTGTAAGGTCGTTCACACTCTGTATTCGCTTTCCTCCCAGCCCCCAGGGTACTGTGAAGAATGACACCTTTGCTCAAGACTAAAAAAAACTTGCAATACTCTCTCTGATTGGCCATGGGGAATTGAACCGCAGTTCAAAGTACCTGGTAACCTTCACATCCCATCTGTTTTATTGTTCTTTCAAACTAATTCTAAATCATAATCCTGAGGCTTCCAAACCTTAGTAATAATTAACTCCACTGTATTGACTCAAAGGATCTTAACCAATATTGGGATTTAATATAACTAATCTTTTTAGGCCTGAGCTGTTACTGTTAAATAGAGCCATATTCTAGAGACAATAGCTTTTATTAGGACTAATCTTAAAAACAAGCATCTTGCTTCACATTATAGGTGTCATTGCTACTGATATACTGTAAAGAATTGTATCAAGACGTTTAGGGGATGACTGTTGTAGTTTTAAGAACTTACATATTGGTTTTGTTTTGTTTTTTACAAGAAAAATCCATGAAATGATATATGAAAACCCCGTATGTTCTGCTAAAAGCAGGAGCTATGAAATATTGGTGGAAGCATATAGCATGTTCCTAGCTTCACTTTTTGCATCAAAGCATCTATTTCTTCTGTTTCATTGCATCTCTGTCAAAGCCATTAAGTGTCTCCTGCTTTTACTACCTACTTTTGAAATTGTGCTCTTCATCAGCTTCTTTTTTAGGGGAACGGTCACATTCTTGGTTTTGCAGTCCCTTAAATAGCAAAATTCACTGAGCATTGCTTGTCTTAAGACTCTCTCCCTTATTTTTTCATTTTGGAGGTAATGTGATCTTCACTGTAGTATCATCTTAAAGACAGAACTTAAAGCTAGATGTGTTTTGGTTTCCATAATCACAAAATTCTGGTATTGGCATTTATATTTTTGGCACGTGCATACTCAGTACCTAGCGTTGTTTTGTCTCTAAACATAGTAACTATTCTAATACAATAAAAGATGAAGGTTAAGAGAGCCATTTACTGATCCTTGGAATTCATCTGCATTGACAACTTATAAATAAGCAACCTAAGTTTTAAATTGGTGTTATGGAAATGTATACTTTGGAATTTGGAAAAAAGCAGCAATTTGTTGGTGTCCCAGAGTAATCTTAAAGTTGTAACACAACATCCCTCCCTAAATAACTGCTGTTTTTTTCCTTGCTGAGACTGGTCCTTTTGTAAGTATTCAGTCTTCTTCTATTCTGCTCAACACGGCTGTTACTGACTTTCGGTTCTTCAGAGTTGCTGGTGCAAGTAGGAACTCTATTCAGTGTATTTGTGTATTGTGCTTTTGGGCTTATGTGCCGGTCTGTGTATGGAAATATTAAACGTATGTTGCAATATATGCAAATATAAACAATTTTCTTTGATTGTTTCAGGTCCTAAATTATTGGATTACGCTTACCATCCCAGTTTAGAACATAAATGTAAGAAAGATATTCTAATTGGCAGAATAAAGAACTCTGAAGATAAATCATGGAAAAAAATACGTCCCAGACCAACAAAGACACAGTACGTGGGACCGTATTATATATGTAAAGGTACGTGTTACAGATAGTAAAATGGTAATGTCTGCACTCAAAGTAATATAGTTTAGCTTTTCCACTGTGAAGTACAGAGTGAGTTCTTATACTTGCTCATGGGAGGAGGAGAAGGAAGTTCACGGTGTTGTTTATATTTTCCAAGGCTGTAAAGAGAGCCGTATTTTGACCATTAATGGGATTATTTAGAGAACATGCACTGTACTTCCGTACTGTTCTTCATGAATAACTTTGCTTCCTAGTGCTGGGCTATTATTATTAAAAAAAAACAAGAAAGAGCTTAGATTTCTGCACTATGAACCTCTACTTACGATATAAGCAAGATGACTCCTGGATGAATTAGCATCTGTGTTTAAGCAAAAGGTATTCTGAGTTCTCAGCATTGTTGCCTAGACCAGAGAAGGATAGTTGATGGAGGTGTGCTTCAGCCTTTCTGATTTCTTTCACATTTTCAACAAGTCACTCAGCATAAGGTTTTTCTTCTGTCAGCAGGACATCTGTGACCCTTTTACAACAGATGTAGCTTCTTTATTAAAAACATTTGAAATTGAGATAGTGGGTGTTTTAAGATGAATTTCCAATAGAAGTTGTGTAAAAGCAATGTCATATTCAATGTTACCATTCTAGATGTTGCTGCTGAAGAGGAATGCAGATATCCAGGTCATTGCACGTTTGCGTATTGCCAAGAGGAGATCGATGTGTGGACGCTGGAGCGCAAAGGAGCCTTCAGTCGAGAGGCTCTTTTTGGGGGAAATGGAAAGATCAACTTGACTGTGTCCCGACTTCTTCAAGAACATCATGGATTATTTATGTTTCTTTGTGAGGTGCTGCTTTATTTCTAATGACACAATAAAAATGATATTAGATAAGAAAATTACTTGGAAAGAAATGCTTTGGTTCATGCATAACTATTTTGTAAATATTGAAATACATGTTCAGTAATCTGGCTCGCTTTAGATTAGAGAGTAGTTGAAGTCTGTTAAAATCTTTAAGGTAAGGTATATTTTAAAATGTATAAAATACATACTCTATAATGACCTGGTTTTTGTATTCCAGAAATGTTTTGATCACAAACCGAGAATAATAAGCAAAAGGAACAAGGATAACTCATCTTCTTGTTCTCACCCTGCTATGCATGACTTTGAAGATAACAAGTATGTCTGAAATCCCATCTCTTCACGTTTCAAATTAAAAGCAAAGGTTTTGGGGAATTCTTTTCAATACTGACTTTCATTTCTTACCTGTTGATTAACTTCTCTTCCTTGTTAACTGTTATGATTTGGTGGTATCGCTAAGACAAACTTACTGAACAAGGATTGTCTCATGTAACTAAATTGAAAGTGAACTATTTCTTTATCAATGCATTCAAAAATAGCGGTATCCACCCTCATGTTTGAATCTTACTTGTTTTGGTGTCAGTTTGTTAATAGCTTTTCTATCTAGTGAGCTGCATTGATGTAAACAGATGTGTGATGGTAAATTAATATAGGAATTCATAAGTTTGCTCTTTGTTCAGTCTGTTTTGCTTATTTTGCTGTAGTTTTAACTCAGCTGGTTAGGAACAGGTTTGCCTTAATTACAGTGTCTGAAGTAGACTGTAGTCCTTATAAATTCAGTTGCTAAAAAATAGTGTGAGAAAAGTTTATAATTTATTCTTCGAAAGTTGACAAAGACTTCATAGTGGCAGTGGTGTTAATTAAGTTTTGGGGAATTAATAGACTTACATTTGTATATGATGGAAACATAAGTGGGAGCATTTTTAATCCTTTATTCTTCTTCCACTTCCCTATATTGAGGAAACACTACAGCTGTAAGAGCTAGGCTGCTACTGTGATGCATCAACTCTTTCTTCAGTGGTGCTCTACAGAAGAATAGGTACTTGCATTTGGAATTAGCTCAGGATATGCACTTGAAAATGGATGTGGTATGCTTTCCCTCTTGGAAACCAGTGATCCAGTTGGATTGAATTCAGTAATGCTTTGCAGAAGACACACTTCCAGATTTCACAAGAGTACTGTTTCGTGATGTTGGTTTACTCAGCCTAGAAATAAATGATAATTAGATGCTACTTCCTTCTGGAAACTGTTTCCAAAACAGGTGCCTTGTCCACAGTCTGCGTGAAACTATGGTGAAATATTCCAAAATCCGTCCTTTTCAAGTTCGATGTCAGCTTGACCTGTGCAGACATGAGGTTCATTATGGCTGCTTAAGAGAGGATAAATGCTTTTATGCTCACAGCCTGGTAGAGCTTAAAGTCTGGATAATGCAAAAGGAAACAGGTATGTTTGGTAAAATGCTCGCTTTATTCTTCACTGAAATGCCACTTCATTGTCTCAACCCCCTTCTGAAATCAGCAACTTGGGACCAGTGCATTCACTTAGAATTTGCTGGAATCTTGCATACAGCATATTCAATAAACAGTAATGTAAATATGATAAAAAGTATTGAGCAGGCTACTAGCTATTCAAAATTAGCAAGTTTTTGAGAATAAAAAGTGTCAAAACTGCTCATTATGATCACATTATTTTTTCCTGAAGCACAACTAGGAGCCTTGAGCAGATTTAAATCCAAGTCAAACTAGATTTGTTTTTATTTTTAAACCTTCCAAGTTTGGAAGATCTTGATCAATTTTTTTTCCACCTTGAAATATTTTATTTATGCCATTGTTTCTCTCCATCCCCCAGTAAAAGATCAAATTTTTCCACAGTTAAACCTTTCTTTTAGCTTACTTCTATTCTGATATTATTATATAGTGAACCTGAAAATAAATCTTTACAGTTTGCTCCTCTGTCTGTCATCAGTGTATGTGAATTGTTTTTCTGTTCTTGCTTACACAGGACACGTAGGCTGCTTTTTTTGTTGATCTCACTTGTTTTTGTTTGCTTCTTTGAGGATAACAAAGTTTACTACTTCCTTTCTAGCTGACAGCTTTTGAACAGTATGTCTCTCACAGTCCATTACTTGGTCATGAGTTCCAAGCAATTGAACTGTTAGTAGGAAGTGATTTTTACCATGTAATAGTTGCTCATTCTTCCTACCTTGCTCTGTATGACAGCAGTGCTTTAGATATTAAATAATCACATTGGATCATTGTGGTGCATGGAGGAAAAAGGGAAACTTGGCAGTGCCGATGTGTTACAGTCTTTCTGGCATTTTTGCCCCTTTATGTCTGAGATTTATCCTCACCTGTCCCTTCTTTGAGGAAGAGGTTCCTTGTTGCTTCAGCTTTCTATCCAGATTCTTGTATAGGTATACTGACATGAGATGTCATGCTGACCTGAAAACTTTGGAGGAAGAAAGTTAAATAGAGACAAGAGAGAACTGTTTCTTTGCTGATGTCCTGTTCTCTCCTTCCTTGGAAAAGCCTTGAGAAGTTTCTTTGTGAAAGTAAAACAGTTATTTTCTTACCAGCTGCCCCTACAAAGTCAAGGACAGCAAATACTTAACACTGTAATTTCTATTTGGAAGTAAGTGTTGGGATCTCCAAGAAACTTGATTTGCCACAGAAGGCGTATTTTGTATTTTATGATGTGTTCATGCTGGCCTCATGCTTTGCCAAAGTTACTTAAAGCTCAGTCTCTGCTCTTTGAATGAGTTTCCTGTTCTGAATGTAAGGTGTGGGAAAGAAAGGAGTGCTGCCTCAGGAAAGAACCGTTTTACTGACCCTCAAATCGAAACACAGATCACAGTCTGTATTTGTGTGGAATTACAGTATGTGTGAACACTATATAGCTGCTATAGGAACCTTAGGCACAGTATTTATAAGAATGTTTTGTGGTTTTCTTCTAAAGCAAAACTTAATTAATGGGGCTTGTTTACAATCTTTGTAAATAAGGCAAAGGTGATCCAGTGTCTGTCACCTTGCCTTTTGGGTAGTTTTTCTGAGTTACATTACAGGTTTAGTACATTATGTTTAAATAAATACTCAAAGATGCACCTGAACTTATTTGAGCAATTTGTAATTTAAAAAAATTTTTATGTTTGCTTTTCAGTGTGATGACATATACAGTATTTCTGTTTTGAAGGCCCATATGTGTGTATATGATGTAAATGTGTATCTACACCCACACGTGGGTGTTTGTATATGTATACAATATATAAAAAGGAAAAATAGATAAAAGCTTTGGGGCTTCAGAAGTATTCCAATTAGAGCGTGTCTGCAATGCTACAACAGTCATAAGTGCTCAAGAACTTTTCCCCTTCCTTTACAGGTATTTCACATGATGCTATTGTTCAAGAATCAAAGAAGTACTGGCAGAACATGGAAGCTAGTGCACATGGATCACAGGTATTTTTGGTTTTCCATTAAATTAATTCTACAGTGACTTTAGTGATTGTTCTTTTTCTATGTCTGTGTATAATGTAGCTTACCTTAGAAATTACTTTTTTAATGCTCTCTTCAAATAATCTGTTTGTAAGCTTTCTGTGGCTCACTCCATCTACACTAGAATGCCTGCTTTGCTTCTGTCCAATTCTGGTTTTGCTTTGCTTATTCCATCATAGGCAGAACATAAAACCTAAATATAATTTTAAAGTCAGCTGCCATAGGGCAATTAATTATCTTTTCAAAATGTAGGACATTTATATGTTTAGTTTGTATATATTGTTGCAACTTCTGGGTTGTGAAATCAGAAATAAATAAAAAGGCATTTGTTAGGAAATGTCTAGTTTGAAACTACAGGCTGAACTATTACAGTGTAACATCTGCTTCCAGACATGTTTTCTAAACTTTTATCGTAGGGGGTGATTCATAATTATGTATGGATTTCTTTGCAGATACAAAATACCTTTCATTGTTGTTATTTTTTTTTGGCTTAAGATCCTTGGGAACCAAATGAAATATGGATCACTTAATTTGAAAATGAAGTTTGTTTGTGGTCAGTGCTGGAGAAATGGTCAAGTTAATGAGCCAGACAGAAACAAAAAGTACTGTAGTGCAAAGGCAAGACACCCGTAAGTAAGATGACAGTGAAAATATTGCATCAGCCACTTAAAACCTCTACTGGGAGACCTTGTTACTGCTTGGGAAAGAGTCATACAAGGA